AAAATGGATCGCAAGGACTCTCGATGCTACGAGGCGGGTTCGACTCGGCGACATGATCTGTGAGTGGGTCTTTTCTTTATATATATATATATTGGTTAGTTTCCATATATAGAAGCATTAATAAATTCTTTATGCGATTGCCATGATTAAATTAATGTTTATAAGAAATACCTTATAGTTGGGAAATGATGAAATAATCCTATGGGATGCACAAGTAAGCTTACTATAAGGAGATGCCTTGATTATATTTATGGTCATGAAGAATTGTTGAATGGCTATGGCATGACTATATTGATGTTATCTGCTCATCGTTTGCTGCACTGGTGTTGGTACTCGCCCGGGTCAGGGCCAGTCTTTCACGTGTATATGCACATCGCACTGTATGCTCACTTTGGATCCATTGTAGGTGCCAGTCTTGTCGTACAAGTTGCCATTGGTAACTTCGACTCGTATGTGCTGCGTATAGCTCCAGTTTTCACGTGATTGTAGTACTAGAGCGTATATTATTATTACACATAGTCCTATTCATGTCAGAATACCTCTGCATGAACTCGTGTGTCAGCATATGTTGATGAGCACCCGATATGATATGTTGCTTATGTGAGATTTTGTGAGTATGGATGTCATGCCCTTATTTACGAGATATTGTGCCGTAATGAATTCTTGAGATTTTGCAGGCTACAATAAGTATTTTCTTACTATACATAGTATGTATATTTTGAAAACTATACTAGTTTTACAACGAGGGGTTATAACGTTTTCAAAAAGGTTTTTATAAAGCTTTATTTTAAGGCCCACTCACCCTTGTTTTTCGCCGCTCCAGGTTTTAGTAGCTAAGCTTTCGTATCGACGATGATTTTTGGCAAATCTTGGTGTAGACGATTACCTTCGATGGTATAATTCTCACCTTATCTTACTGTATTGTACTTATGCTCTAACATCATGTGTGAAATGGGTGCATTCCCACTCACATCGCACTCTTATATTTAGGCACTTCTAGGTTTAAATTTATTCACATTTTCCACTACACTACCCTACACTTTATGGCTTCATCACCTTCCAGGTGTCAGCCAACATAGCTCGATTCAGAGTCCAAGTGGGCATTCCGGGTCGGAGTGTGTCAGTAAATCTACTTTCAAATACCTTGTAAAAGTTCTCCTTAATGCTCATGAAAAATATTTCCTGAAAAAAAAAAAATCATTTTTGACAAAAAAACTTGGGTTAACACTCACGTTTTTGCCATGTAGTGCTACGGTCTAGTGATATTCCTTTTCAAGTAAGAGGTCTTAAGTTCGATCCTCGCCAAAGGTAAAGTTGAACCACATTGTTATGGCAAGCCCATTGTAAGGCTTAGCCCACTCCCCCATTTAGTGTAGATACTATCGTTTGTTAAAAATAAAAAAAAATAAAAATAAACACTCATGGTTTTTAGCCAATTTTGCAAATTTGGACATAAATCATCATTCAATCTATTTATTTGCACCTTCGCTTCACCGTGAAGTTTTGAAAATTAAGGTAAGACATTCTGTGAATATTCTTGGGGGTGGAACCCTATTTTAACCATGTTTAGGGCCTCACAACTATATTTTTCACTTATTTTTTTTACTTTTCGGCTTAAATACTCTACTAAATATATATTCATTGCTCAATAAAACGTAAATTTGCTTCCAAATGTCTTATAAAGTTTTCCTTAATACTCACGGAAAATAATTCGTGAAAATAAAAAAATTGCATTTTTCACAAAAAAGACGTGGGTGTTAGGCGGGCTTGACGAACGCAAAACGAAGTGGACTCCGCGCACGTAGAACGAGGCAAACCCAGTTGTGCTTTAATCATCGTTCAATCTATCCATGAAGTTTTGAAAATTAAGGTAAAACATTCCGTGAGATTCTTGAGGGTAGAACCCCAGTTAGCAATGTTTTGAGCTTCACTACTATATTTTTCACTTAATTGCTTAGTTTTCATATTAAATATTCTACTAAATATACATTTATTGCTCAGTAAACCGTAAAATTGCTTCCAAATGCCTTATAAAGTTTTCTTCAATATTCATAGAAATATTTCTCCAAAATAAAATATTTGAAATTTTAACAAAAAAACGTGTGTGTTAGGCAGGCTTGACGCACACAAAACGAGACGGACTCTACGCACGTGGAACAAGGCAAACTTGGGGGCACAGAAAGCGAGGCAAGCTTCTGGCATGCGAATGGAGTTTGGTTCTACACATGCAAAACGAGGCATGATTCTTGTGCAAACTGAGGTTGCTCAAGGCATGAAAAACGAGGCACACGCGGGCTGGCGCATTGAAAACGAAGATATAAATCTAAATCTAAAGGTATTTGAATCTACATAAAGTAACATAGGAAGAAAAGAAAATTCAATGAAAAAAGAAAGTTATCGAAAGATCCAAACAAATTAGGTGTTTTGGTATCATGGTATTATTGCTGTAAAGTACAATAAGTCGTGGGTGTGATTTGATAGAAACTAGCAATTATCGCTAAATCCAAACACTTGAAACACATTTTCCCTGCTGCCGTGCATTCACTTCCTTTTCCAAATATTTAAAAGAAGGCTTTATAGCCAAAATGGTCCATGAGATTTTCATAATTTCTCACTTTGGTCCTTGAGATTTAAAATCAATAGAAGTGATCTCTAAATTTGTCCACCATCAATAATTTTGGTCATTCCATGACAAATTATATTAAATAAGGACCAAAATGACAAAAATGCCCTCACTTTAATAAACAATGGGCCAAATGATTTGACAAAAATGAAGGGTATTTTTGTTATTTTAGCCTTATTTAATGGAAATTTTTCATGGAAGGACCAAAATGGTTGATGGTGGACAAACTCAAGGACTACTTCTATTGATTTCAAATCTCAGGGACCATTTTGGCTAAAAGACCTTAGAAGAATGTTCTGGGACCAGATTTATATCCCATCTTTTCTTAATTCCACGCCACATTTTTACTAGAATTACAGTTTTGTAGGATATTTTAGGTTTGACTCACCCAAAGATAGTTTTGCAAAACTTTATATAAATTTTAAATTATTAAGACATTCATTTGTAGTGAAGAATATAGAGGAATGTACTACAAAGACACACTAATTTAATTCAACGGTCATATGGTTTCGAAGTTGAGTGATTTTTGGTAGACAAGATACTTGAGGTAAGATATAAAAGATAATCGGGCGAATCAGTGAAATATATAAAGACTAGACCCTATAAAATCGCGTATTAAATGCGTTCGCCACCAAATCTTAACTTGTAAATATATATATATGTTTTTCTTTAGTACAATATATATTTTCACCAAGAAGTGAGATTTTTGGCTAAGCGACACAAAAGTTCATTGTCACATCCCGACCCGGGCGAGACCACTTCCCGGGCCCGCTTCCACTACCGTAGCACGATATTGTCCGCTTTGGGCTTACCATTCCCTCACGGTTTTGTTTTTGGGAACTCACGAGCAACTTCCCAGAGGGTCACCCATCCTGGGAGTGCTCTAGCCCTCTTCTCGCTTAACTTCGGAGTTCCTACAGAACCCGAAGCCAGTGAGCTCCCAAAAGGCCTCGTGCTAGGTAGGATGGGAATATACATTTAAGGATCAGTCCCCTGGGCGATGTGGGATGTCACAATCCACCCCCCTTAGGGGCCCGACGTCCTCGTCGGCACATTTCCGGCCAGGGATGGGCTCTGATACCAATGTCACATCCCGGCCCGGGGCGGATTACTTCCCGGGCCCGCTTCCACCACCGTAGCACGATATTGTCCGCTTTGGGCTTACCATTCCCTCACGGTTTTGTTTTTGGGAACTCACGAGCAACTTCCCAGAGGGTCACCCATCCTGGGAGTGCTCTAGCCCTCTTCTCGCTTAACTTCGGAGTTCCTACGGAACCCGAAGCCAGTGAGCTCCCAAAAGGCCTCGTGCTAGGTAGGATGGGAATATACATTTAAGGATCAGTCCCCTGGGCGATGTGGGATGTCACATTCGTTATAATAGATTAGTATCAAACTTGCAAAATACTAAATTTAAACCTAAGGCCTCTTCATATACATGTACTTACAAGTGGAGGTATATTTCATTTATATGTTTTAGAAATCACTAATGGGAAGTGTTATTGGCACTCTAAAAATCTCATTCTACACTCCTCACAAATGTATTTTTCTTTCTAAATATAGAAAGTTTGAAGTGTAGAATGAGAAATTTGACGTGCCAATAACAATTCCCATCACTAATTTTCTTACCAAAATGTTTGAAATAAAATATGTTAGAATATAGAGTCCCCACACCTAGTCTTGGGTCCAATATAATTAAATACCCGATAAATTAATAACTTCGATAGTTAATACTTTTGGCCGATCCCAACTTAGGAATAACAAGCTAAATTGATACTTTGGTAAATTTATAAGATAATACATTATAAAAATTAATCATATACATCCCACGTGATATATAAATTAATAATTTCATAATTTATTTACTCCTTTAAGATGAGAAACCATTGTTGTTCGTATGATGTGTTGTGTTACAACAACTTTTGTCTATTTAAATAAGTTTTGCTTGATTAAATGTTCATAAAATGGAATAATATAACATATTGAAATGTGATCTACTTTTGAAAAAATTAAGTAAATTTACAAATTTTATTTTGTTAAACAAATACATAAAATTATTAGTTCATAACACAAAAACTAAATTCGATGTACAAATATATTTTATTTGCGTATATTAAAAGATTGTAACTAACCCCAGGACCAAAAAAAGGAACTTGCACAAGAGGCATGCCAAACAACCATGACTTTGGCTTCTCACATAACTTGGGATTCTTAAAAAGATTCTTGAAACGTTTGAAAAAAATATGAGGGGACTCGGAAATTAAACTCTGACAAGCCTAATAACGTGAACTTGTAACTAAATAAAATTGCATTAAAGTGAATGGTTGTATGAGCGCCTGCCACAATAAACCAAACTATAGTTTCACTTTTCATCAAATACTAGCAGCAAACTTCAGTTTTATTTTAATTACCATAATTCACTAAAAAATTTCATACAACCACCAAAACAAACTACAGCATTCGTGTATGTGTTTTGACATCTTTGCAACTAGCTAACATGTAGTTCCCTAAAAATTAAATGGCCCCTTCCATCGAAAGAGAGAACTAATCATAGTAACAATAAGGGTAGACCAGCGTCGATCTAATTAACTAAAACCTTTTGGGTAAACCAGGTTTCAGTTCCCAACACTGTTGTCCAAATCTGCTGCTATAAACTTTGAAGGGCAGAGACCTTCCGATGCCCAACGTTGAAGATATATATATATATACATACATATACATATACATATATATATATATATATATATATATATATATATATAATACGAATGTTCTGAAAGATGATACAAAAAAGGCAAAGAAGGAAGGCAATATCACCAAACATCTCTAAGGTATCTTCCATCCATCTGAAGTTGTTTCACTCTAGCTTCTGCCTTCGTTGAGTCCACCCTTTCCTGAAATTTTTTTTGCCAGCGATAACTAGTAAACAAACACGATCTAACTCGACAGCAAATAAGACAAGCGATCAACGAGCTCTAGCACCATCTTAAATATTGTTTTTATTCTTTCTTTTGTTTTGGAAAATACAAACTTGGAAGAAATTGGATGACTAACAGTTGGTGAAAGCTTTGCTCCCTCCTAGAATTCTATAGCCGTGTGCACATTCTGTAGCTAATTTATCTGTTTACGGGATTCATGCGTGTACATTCTGTAGCTATTTTATCCGTTAACGGGATTTATGTGTGAGTGTGCGTGCGTGCGCCTGAGAGAGAGAGAGAGAGAGAGAGAGAGAGAGAGAGAGAGAGATTGACACCTGCTCCTGGACAATGGTATGCAAAGTCCGATGAACGTCTCTAGCCATTCCTTTGGCGTCACCACATACATAAAAGTATCCCCCTTGAGATACCAAGTCCCACGTGTATGCTGCCTGAATATGGATAAATCGGTGCAACCGTTAGGTTTTCTCTCTAATTAAGAGAGACCGCTATCTATCGCTTTATTTAGAAAATGATAATAAAAAATTAAGAGAGACCACTTTGTGCTTCCCACAAATACTTACCTTCTCCATCAGTTTATGTTGAACATACTCCTTTGTTGGTCCCTCACGTGAGAATGCAACAATTAGTTCAGACAACACACCTTCTTCCACAAAGTTATTTAACTCATCTTGATAAATGAAATCCTACAAAAACAAAGATCCAGTATATATTTATCCATCCACCACAAGCACAAAGTATTCCAAAATATCAACAAGTCCAAAAAGGCAACGTAATAATATTTACCATTCTGCGGTTTCTGCAACCAAAGAAGAGAAGTGCAGGCCCTAATTGAGCACCCTCCCTTTTCAGGGCCATCCTTTCCTAAAAAAAGAGAAATTATACTTTATCTCCCTGTTTTTTTCAACAAATAAATTATGAAAACTCAGACTTGTAATGCAATTTTAAACCTGTAGAAATCCTCGGAAAGGTGCGAAGCCTGTACCAGGCCCCACCATGATAATAGGGACTGAAGGATCAGCAGGTAGCTTGAAATTGGATTGCCTAATAAAAATAGGAGCCCAGCTACTGTTATGGCTTTTCTCTAGAGGAACTGCATTCTGATTTTATTCAAAACAGTTCGTTGTTAGATACAAGCAAAGCCTAAGTTGTGCTGTAAGAGTATGGAAGGTTTTGGGATTTCAAAAACCAAAACAATTAGTGATAAGAAGCAGACAAGGGGCTGCATAGTCACAATCGGAACTACCTTCATCCAGAACGAACACACTCCTTTGTGAATTCTGCCAGTTGGCGTGGGACCATAAACTAAAGCACAGGTTACATGAACACGATGGAGTGCAAATCTGTTGGAAGCAACAATACTAGTCAAGTTTCTAAATATCTAATTAATTTATAGAAATAATATGACCTTAGCAAAGATGGTGACGGGAAATCACCTTGGTGAAGATGATATGGAATAGTAACGAGGCTGTAAGCGAGGGGCTACTGCAGCAAAAAACACACCAAGTGGAGGCTTCGCTGATGGGAACTCAGCCATTACCTCAACAAGACTTCTCTGACTTCCAACAATCCATTTTGAGTACTCATCCTGAATGGTGGAAGCATGTGATATGAGTATAGATGAAATATAAAAACAATATGAAAACAGAACCAAACATTCTAAGACGGTTTGCATTATTGTCAACCTTCCCCTGAGGTGATGATAAAAATTTAAGTCTTTCTGCTTCACTCGGTTCAACGGCATGTGCAGCCAAAGCAAGTAGAGCAGCCTGAAAGTATAAATCATTTAAAAGAAATCAATAGTAATATAAACAAGAATAAAACCAACATAAGAAAAAAAGTTAAGAGAAAGGCGATCACAACAAAAAACATGAAGATCACCTTCCGAGGTGGGTTCAATAGATCAGCATAACGTGCCAATGCAGTGCGGACTGTGCACGGACCAGGAAACGGAGGCGGTAATGAGCTTCCAAGAGACGTGCCATCATCATTATCAGTATGTATGGAGAATAGCAAATCTAAAGGTTGGCCCAACAACCTTGCAGCTTCTTCAACTGTTTCATCACAATTATCTGCATAAACACCTACATGGTCTCCAGTTTCATATCTGAAAAACAAAGTAAACAGTTTTAACCATGAGGTTGATAATGCCAGCATTAAAAGAGAAAAAAACATCATTTCGATCTATAATAAAAGGGAACTCAAGCAGGAACCCCTTGCTTTTGGGCTCAGACACCAAATCATTTCGGTCACCACAAATTAACTACACAAATGGCAGATTTCTTTCTTTACTGTAATGCAGGAAAAAACAAATGTAAAATCCGTTATCAACGACATACTAACATGAACAACAGCTAAATAAGGTACACAGTATGCATTGGAAAATCATTTTACAAAGAGTTACCCGCACTAAGTCTCTGCTTTTCGTTTGGCATGGTGGATAATACTCATGAATATAATTAGTTAATGTAATGATACACCTACAATTGACGAATGTTATTATTCTTATGAATATTTGAAAAGAATACTTTACTAAACGCAAACTCACAAACTATACGAAAGATGCACAAAAATTCCATTTATATGTGAAAAAAATATCAGCCTATCTACACAAACCATTTCTATTTTACATTTGACAGAGATGAAAGCATCAATATCCACCTATCACCAGTCTATAAAAGATTTAAAATAAAATTAAAAAGAAGTGGGTACATATATGAACTTACGTAATACCAGTTCCAGAGATATCAAACTCCAGATGGATGCAAGAGCGGTCAGACTCAGGTTTGTGAAGCTCTCTTTGAACAGCAACATTAACTCTTTCGGAAAGAAATACAGCAAAAAAATTAGTGAAAGAAAATAAAACTGGATAGAAAAAAGGGGAAAATAAAAGAATAAGCCAATTTTACTAAAATGTAATAATTGCTACAGAAACAAGGAATGCACAATCTACAAGTACCTGCAAGGATGGTGAATATCGAGAGACGCATTCCCATTAGCCATATTCGACTGACTGTCCTCATAAGAGGTAACAACACTAGGGTCATGAATAACAACTCTATATTCTGGAATTACAGCTGTATATGGAGTAGCCGCAGAATTTGTATCATCTTCATCTCGGAGGAATAGATCCAACTCAGGCCACAATGATTCCCTCCTAAAGAAGAACCCAAACATTACAGTTAACGCAAGCAAAAAAATGTAGTCATACTAATACTTCCCAAAAATTAGATGCTATCTTAAAAGGAGCAATCGAGAAAAGAATGACAACAGGACTACAGCATACCAAGCAGAAAAATCGTCCTCAATGCATTGATCATCATCACCTAAGCCAACGGGAACAAGACGCTTTGCACCTGCATTAACCACAAAGTTGCAAATTCAATAAAAAGTTATCAGATTTGGCGATTGAAATAAGCTACACAGAAAACAATGATAAACAAAAACTAAAATGTAAATCAGAAAACCTCAATCTTAATTCCTAACCTGTTCTTTAACAAAATAAGGAGAAGTGCAAACATACCAACTTGGTTCACAGCTAGTAATATAATACTTCGGACTTGTTTGGGACTGCCAATGGGAAGATATGAACATGTAGAAAGTTTTAACAAACATCCAAGTGCTTCCTAGAAAATCACTTGGAAGTGCTACCTATGCTTTTCCACATGCAATCCCAAACAGGCCCTTAATCACAACCAAATACCATACACAAACACATAACTGAATAATACAAAACGAAAAGTGCCAGTCTTTACACAGAATGCTAAATTGAAAATTCCCACTGCGATCTTACACCATGTATGTGATTAATCATACTGAAACGCAAGCGACAAGGTACACAAGTTTTCATTCAATAGCAATGAAAGAGAGAAAGCAAATTTAGTTATACCTTCTTCACTAAGTTGATCATCAACCACTTTTCCTATCTGCTTCAATAAGGATGTCATCAGAAGACGCAATACTACAAAGAATTAATGGAAAAAGACATAGTATTGATTTTACCTTATTGAAATGTTCATATTGTCGGTTACCCAGACCAAAAACACCATATTTTAGATGTTGAAGCCAGCTACCCCTATCTTTTCCCTGAAATAAAACCATGAGATCTCAATTTATTAAATGACAATGAAAATGTCATGGTTGTGTATAAACAATAAAGCCACCAACCTCCGTAAACCATTTGTAAAATCTTGCTGCATTATCAGTTGGCTCCCCATCTCCATAACTACAAAGTAAGGTCAAGTATATTGAACGCACTATTAGCAAGACCATTAAGAATCTAGAAATAACATAAGTATGGGTAAATGTGTTTCTTACGTGGCCAACATAAAAAATGCCAAAGTCTCTTTCTTCAGTTTTTCTTCATATGTATCATCATCCTCAGCATAGTCATCCTATTCAACCATAAGCAAATATAACTTATCGTATACTCCATATTATGCAGTTCGTCTAGCAACGATGCAATACAAAAAATCAGTTCCCATCTTACATACCAGGTCGACAACCTTCACAGCAGCTTTCTCATATCTAGCCTTGATCTCCTCAGCCAAAGCCTATGTTCACATAAAAAACATAACAGTTAGAAACTAAAAAAATTCCTACAAGAACACTATAAACTATTCTGTTATCTATGTTGTAAATTCAGAATCCGTACAGATAACTTTTGGTTATGTGCACTTCTGTACAATTGAGAAATCTATATTAACATATTACCACATTCATGATCCATGGTTTGACTCCCAAATGGCGTCAGAAACCACTCACTTTCTTAGTACAATGAAGCTGTCATGAATTCATCAACTGTACAATTCACTAAGTTGCTTAAATCAAGAACACCTGAAGTGTAAAACTGACGTGCACTATAGCCATGAACATTTCAACCTGCCTTTTTCTCCTATGGTTCAATCTCTAGGGACCTAAAGGTCAACACATTAACAAGTGCACCATTTCATTTCCATTTCTTGCCATGAAAAGCCAAAAGTTCGAATTACCATGGTACTTTTGAAATCATCTACAGAAACTGGCGATCTTGCCTCTAGAGCAAAAATCCAAAGCTGACTCTTCGTCGTAGGCTCGCAGAAGCACGCAAACATATAGAGTTCTAACCAGATCCTAAATAAAAATCTTAATCCGAATCGTTACTTTATGACAAACCACTATTATGTCCACTACTCAGCTGTCCCAATTCAACAACATTTCCCTGAAATCCAATCTTACAATCAAACTCCTATGAAAAACAAACCAACCCAAAATCTAAAATCCCAACAAAGCTCACCCCCTTTGATCACAACCACAAACTATTTGCAAATCATTTGACACGAAAATCTTGGTGTTTAACACAAAGCACATAAATTCAACCAAAATAGTTTACCTTAGCGAAACCCTCAGCTGTACCAGTCTGAGTTCCATAGAAGATCGTGACCCTAGACTTCCCCGCTGCAACATCAAACTCGTCTTCCTCCTCCTTCACCTCAAGCGGCTTGGGCACCACCAGCTGCTTCACCTCCCGGCTCCGATCAGACGATCTCCTCCACACCAGCACCAAAACCCCAATTATCAGCGCAATTGAAGTCGTCGCAATCACCACCACCGTGTCCGTCACCGAACCACCGAACGAAACCCCTAGCACCGACTCCAACGCGCGTACCAAATCCGAATTCGAACTCATCCTGAAATCTCTGTCAGTCAAAGCTCGGAACCCGAATCCCTTGCTCTCACTCAGTTATCCGTGAACTGAATCGCTGGTAATGGTGAAGGAGCTACGGAGTCCTCTCGGGTTCGATCACTTCTATGGCAGCGCAGCGAGGTTGGTAAACGAGATTGAGAGAGAGATTTGACCACAAATTATTCAGCCGGTTTTATATTTATTTTAAATATTAAATATAAAAGAAAATATAAAAACGAGGAAAAAGAGGGCTTTTTGAAACTTCAATTATAGCAGGAAACTTTCATGGGCGTTGATTTTTACGCCTCTTTTGTACTTTTTTTTTTTTTTTTTTTTTTTTGAGCGATCGGACTTTTTGGAGTTGACAAAATCGGAAACCTCTTTAAAACTTTATATTTTCTACTTTTGGATCCTTTATATACTTTCTAGTTTCTACTAATTTTTTTTGTTAAATGATAAATTTTTTTAAATTAGATGTTAAATTAATTATCGACGAAATTTGAATCTATATCATTATGCAATAGCTCAACTCTTTTCTACTACTATAATAAAATGTCACTTGCTTCTGTTGGTTACCTTCTACTAGTTTCTAGTTTTTTCCTTTTTTTTATTTATTGTTTAATACCTTTTGATTTTATACGGCTTAAAACCAGAGTTTTGATTCATGATTTGACAATAATATATGCTTCATTTTAATATAAATTTTTTTTAGTTAAAATGGTTCTTGACATTAACATAAATTCTCACTTTAAATCATAAGATTTGAAATCGATAAAAGTGATCTTAAATTTGCCTACAGTTAATCATTTTGATTATTCCATAAAAATATTTGTTATAAAGAACGAAAATGAGCTAAAATAATTTGTCAAAAATTGAGAGTACTTTTGTCATTTTCTCTTTTTATTTGACAGAGATTTTTTTTACATAGTGACCAAAATGATTGATGTTAAACAAACTCAGAGATCACTTTTATCGATTTTAAATTTCAGTGACCAAATTGAGAAGTTATACCAATCTCATGAACCATTTTAAATACAAAGCATTTTAATATACTTGGTAACTTTTACGAGCATAATTTGTAATGTGTCTGGTGAATAAAATGGAGTGTAACTTAAAAGTAACGGGAGTTAAATTTTTATTATTAATGTAAAGATAAATACCTATTATTAACGTAAAGATAAATACTCGTCAATTAACCCGTGTAATATAAACGGAATACTACAAACGTTTAAGATAAATACTCGTCAATTAACCCATGTAATATAAACGGAATACTACGCGTTTGTTTTAAACGTAATAATTAAGTACTCTACAACAAAAGTTAGAGTGGGATTAAATTATAAATGTGATTTTGCTGCTTTTGACACTACTGCTTTGGAAGTGTCGAAAACATCTTATGACTCAGGTGCCTCTAGTTTTTCGGCTTTTATTGTACCCCTCATTTGCTTTAGGACAATTTTTCTGATGTGGTCACATTTTTTATATATTGAAAGGAAAAAGAAGATAAAATTAATAACGAAAACAACGTAAGCACAATTAAAAATAAGACAATGCTATCTATGCATTCTTTTTAGTCTTCATACATTTTTTTTAATTTTCTAAGGTCGAATAGACTGAAGTAAAAAAAAATCAATAGCCAAATTGACAAAAATGTGTGAGAAGGAAAAATAAGTGTGTGAATAATACTATTCATTTTATTTTAAAAAACCCGAACTAGTATAAGCATGATTCTTGGTTACTCTCCACTTTCTAACAACTAATTATTTAACTTGTAAAGTTACCGCTCTACCAATATATAAGTTGTTTCTAAACTTAGATTTTGCATGCATCTTTGTGAAATTAAATTTTTTTTTTTGAAATAATTGTGAAATTAATGAAAATAAACTAGAAGCTAAGGGGATGCCACGTGTTTGAGATCCAACCTCTATTTGCATGCCCTTACAACCGGTATTGGGATGTGAGACGTGTAAAATCGTGAACCGGAATAGGTCGGACCAGTTCAGACCGGTTTGGAAAAGTTTGACATTGTTCCAATCAAATTTGGTTCAAAATTTGTTGGTTCGGATCGATTCAGTTTCAAAGTCCAGCATAAGCCCAAGGTTTTGGCTTTAGGCCCAAAATCCAAACAGTAAGTGAAGCCCAATATCCCAAATTATTTACTTGGCGTAGAACTTCAATGAATTTGACCGTTTGCTGGTATTGAATTTATTTTACTTTATGCTATTTGTTTTGACTTCATTGAGGTTTGTAATTGAGGGGTCTCTTTACTTTTTTTTAACGGACAGTTGAATCGTTGAAAGGCAATGGTAAGTGAGTCCTTCAAATGATCTCTTAAATAAACTCATTTGAGAGATTCCTTAATGGAAAGGCAAAGTCTTTATCTGCAATGAATTATTAGGCAAAAATTGGCAATCTTAAGTCAACAACGTTCCTTAATAAACTCATTTGAGAGATTCCTTAATGGAAAGGCAAACTCTTTATCTGCAGTGAATTATTAGGCAAAAATTGGCAATCTCAAGTCAACAACGTTCCTTGCTTTGCAAGGGTCGAGGGGAACGTCTATTGTACATAGCTTTACTCTTACTTTGTAAAGAGATTGTTTTCACGACTCGAACCTGTAACCTTTTGATCACAAGGGACCAACCTTTCTGTTGCGCATTGAATTATTAGACAATGGTGTTAATTTTGTTTGCTATTTTGCGGATTGTGTTGGATTCTATTGGGGTCTCAATCTGGCAAATGGCTTAACGACACAGATGATGATTTTGTTTTCACTAAATTGTTGCCCAGCTAGGGTCAGTGGCCGTCTTTTGAGTGTGACATGGAATCCTGATGCTAATATGTTATATACTCAGGGACTAGTGCTGGGATGCTAAATTTGGGCACGAAATCTACAGGATTACAGTTGGAGGTGGAGGTTCGCCTAGTAGTGGATCCCCTGAACTCTACTTGTGGTCGTTACCTTCTATGAAGGGTAGGAACCTTGTAGGTGCAGACTACAGCAGACAGCAGTGGCGAAACCAGGAATTGTTGGGGGGAGGGGGGAGGGGTGACATTTAACAGGTTTAAGGTCCTAAAAAATGTGGACATCCGTTCGAGGTCCAAGTATTGGGTTGGCAAGAAGATTATGTGAACTACCCAGAATATTCGTAGGAGAATTTCCACTAACCAAAATATTCGAAATAGCATTTAGACTACTCGAAATATTCTAAAGAGTAATTGAACTACATGATTATGTGGAGGAGAATTTAAGCATCCTTTCTTGTTGTATCATGTCATTACATAACTATATAACGAGTAAAGTTCTAAAAGACGTAAGTGCTGGATGAGCGGCAAGCATGACCCAACGCTTAGGCGAGGATCTAGATGAACTAGGTTGTACGTATAAATAAGTGTTTATTTATTATATAGTGATAATATCTAAAAATATTGATTAAAAAACACATAATATATAAAAATACTGACAATTTTATTTGTTATTTGTTGAATTTGATATAAGAGATAAAAATTCAAAGCATTACGAGTTCATAATACAACAAAATATTTTTGAAGCTAGTAAGAATTTATAGTTAATTTTAACGTAAATAAGATTGGCAAATACATAGTTTGAAAACTATGTGGGCAAACGAAACAATAACTAAAAAACAAATATAAAAAAGTACATGTAAATAGCAAGTTAGGCGGTGCAAATTGGTTGGACTATAGTTAAAATTGGGTGAATTTTACAAGGACACGTGGGGTGGGATGGGAGTGAGAGAAAGTCTCTTCTTCCTCCCTCGTTTTCTTCATTGGAACTTGAACTCCATTTTATAAACTACAAATTACAGATCTCCCTTCCTCCTTTCTTTGGCCTAGGTCTTTGAAAAAAAATAGACAGCTCGCGTGCAGCCTGTGTTACGTAGCAGAAGGGAAACCCAGAAAGCCAGAGCACCAGACGAAATTTCATCACTTTCGACGGGATCAGAGGGGCAGAACCACCATTCCTGAGCTTGGTTTCCGGCGAGGGGAGGGGCAGCTGCCCCTCCTCGCACTTATGTAGCTTCGCCCATGGCAGACAGTATTGCCATGGCATAATTGTGATTAAGGCGTTTTAATTTCATTTGGAAAAGTAGGTTAAAAACAACTTTTTGTTACAGTCATATTTAGAATAGGAATGTGATTGTGTAAATCCTAATAGATATAAGAATGTATCTTATATTCCTATTAGGAGTTGATTACCTATTAAATGTTGTAATCCTAAAGGGAAAGGTTTTTACCTATCTACTACTATAAATAAATGCATAATGGGGTGATACAAACACACCTCACAATTAAATCACTCTCTCTTCTCCCTTAATACCGTCAGCCCCTCTCTCTCTAAACTCTTAGATCTTTCAATCAAATAGGCTTACAACACTTTTAAAATTGTAGTATTTGTTGTGGACTATTTTACTGAAAGGGGAGATCAAGGGTGCGGTGGCAGAGAAAAAAATGAGAGAGTTGGGTAATTTCTGTGATGCTTTCATCACTTTTACCTTTATTTATAGTAACTTAGTAGGCTTCCTTGCTTTGCAAGTAATACAAACAAAAGTAACTTAAAAATGATATTGTGACTTCTTTTCTTTTCTCTTGAACTCCTCTGCATAACATATGTAGAAGTTACAAGTTATCAATTGAAAGCAAAGCAATTTTCTTTCTTCTTTTGCTGATTTAACCAAGCATTAATTCTCAAGCAATACTCCAATTCCTTTGGAGCTCACTTTTGAGCTGTGTTAGTTGATTTTCAGGCCGGACCACACTCAATAATCGACCGACATTATTAGTACTCGCCGGAAGCACCAAAACCAGCCCTTCATCACCAACCCCACTAATACCATAACTTGCATAAACTGGTTTTTGTCCCTTCAATTCAAGCCCATAAATCTCTGCCTCTTCCAAGTTCACGAATGTAAGCTTTGCTCCGTAAGCTATGAAGTCCGAATTACTCCCGCCCTCCTCCCTCCTTGCCGTCTCCTCAATTGCACCATTCTCTTCTGCCCCTTTTTTCACAATCAGCTCTACCAAATCTGACACTTCAGCTTCCGCAACCAAGAAATCTGCCGCAACCGTGCTCCACACTATGTCATTACTCAGAACTCCAAATTCCCCTTTATGCACATTTTTCGTACCAAATTCCCTCATATAATGGCAGAGAGAACTTCAAAAGCCGAGGAGACTTTGGCTGATTGCTTGCTTGGAGGACAAGAAATGTTGGAGACCAAATGATCAAGCTTCTCTGCAAAAACATGAAAAATGTGTTTTCTCATCCTTTACTTGTTAGGTGTCACTAGGGATGGGCAAAATACCCGCGGTTACCCGTCCATTTAAACTTTACGGTTATGGTTATGGGTAACCATTTTTATGGGTATAAGTGTTTACCCGTGAAATTTAAATTGGTGGTTATGGGTATTAACCGCGGTTATAAACGGGTAACCGTTTACCCATTTATTTTATATATGTAATGTTGAATATTTTAAAAATAAAATTTTATATATATATATATATATATGCGGCTGTTTGACGGGGGATGGGAAGTTGTGTTATTAACCCAACAATCACATCTCTTCAATTTGAATGTTGCATCTTTTGATTGTTGCCAAAAGACATGATTCACGGTCAACAAGTGTAATCCTTCTCCTAACCATGTTCTCTATCGGACAAAAGTTAAATCAATGCTATTCACTATAGTGCATGGTTTATATAGCTAATTATAATATAATGTAGCTCATTATATATATATATATATATATTATGTTAATACTTTACATTATGGGTAAAATAACCCAAGAATACCATCTTCTAAAGAGTTTTTGTAACCCAAGAATACTTAGCAAATATTATATTACCTTCATTGGTAATAGTTAAAAATATCGTCTGTAAACTATTATTTCAATTATTGGAATGACATACGAGCTTAAAAAATTAAAATATGGAAATGTATGATGAATGTTATCTGTAACGGTGTTTAATTGTCAAAAAAAAAAAAAAATTATGACAATTTTTTTTTAATTTTCAAGTTTTAAAAAACATGTAGACGGATGAAAAAAGGGTAATGGTAAAAAAAAGAAAAAGAAAAAGATAAACGGGTTAAAAAGGGTAAATGGGTAAACGGGTATTAAACGGTTACGGTTAAATGGGTATGGTTAACTGTTTGTAAACAGTTATGGGTATGGGTATAACCATTTAGGTAATTACCCAACGAGTAAACGGTTATGCGGTTATGAATATAAACGGTTATGGGTAAATAACCGCGGTTACCCGCCCGCCATAAATGTTGCCCATCCCTGTGTCACCCAGAAATCACCAACTGGATCTACCCTTTTCACAGAAAAAGGTGTTTCGGGTACTGAAGAAAGTGATGGGGATTCAGGTTTTCCGGGAAGTGGCACGTGAAGGAGCTTCCACGGCACTTGACCTGCGATGATCTTCCCCCACATGTTCATGAAGGCTGAGGCAGAAAATGCATCTCTAAGGACGTTGGCCCAGCTAAGTCCCACTGCCATTCCTCCACATTTTAAACCAAGTGAACTGCTTGCAATTACCACATGGAAAACCAACCATGTCAATATATGCAAGAGAACTAATTCCAACCGATTGTCATATGTCATTTTCTCGCACTTACTCATCACATGTCATGTACGCAACAAGATAATTATGAAAAGAAGATACGTATTAATTATTTTACTTATACGATGTTGTGATTGTAGAAAGATGACACAATGTCACCGGAATCTACGGACTGTTATGATCTTTTTTTCCTGTGTCCTATTACTTTCTACCAATTGCGAGCGAAAGGAGGCTACTGTAATTGTGTATTGGATGAATGAGAGATTCTCTCCCTCCAGTTGCCAACTCAATCAATTGATCCTTCGAACTTCACAGTGAAAAAGAAACAAAATATCTAGAAATTTAGAAAATACACTTGACTACAATACTTACATGTATCTAATACAATCACTATATTCATAAGAATTATATCTGACCGTCAGATGATGGTTACAGTGATGAATACATATAAGTATTGTAGTCAAATCCTTTTTTTTTTATTATTGGATTTACATAGAGAGTGCTATTCAAACAAAAATGAAACTTAAAAAAAAGCAATGAATTGAAGTGGTGAGCTAAAATAAGAAGAAAAAAAATATAGAGTCAAAGCAAACTTTCAACTTCCCAGTTGGTAAACTTGTGAAGTTTTCTTCAAAGATGGCGTTGCCTCGTCTTTCCCAAAAAAGATGGTTTGCTATTTAAAATAAAACAAGTATATATATAGGTATTAACTGTAAAAAGACCAAAGGAGAGTAACCAAGATCAGGACCAAGGGCTTGATTATAAGCAAGACCATCAAAGAGAGAAGAGTCATCCATGGCCCTGGCAGACCATTCATCAACCGTTTCTTCATAATGCGCTTCTACAATTCTTACACCGCTGTCGTTACACTTGATGAACGGCATTCCAGTTTTGGATCTCCGGATCCTCCCGGAGGCAGTGAAGTAGAGCTGCAGGAGCTGGAACATAGGTTTCTTCAAGTCATAAATTGTAAGCCCCTCAACTGCCTCATTCTTGAAGAAGTAGACCCCTTTGATGTAGTGAAGCTTCATGGCCAAGTCTATGTTGGTGACCTCATGGACCCTGTTTTCATCACCTATCCTTGTAGCTGGAACAACCGTTGACAGCCTCAAGCTGGTTGATGACACCATTTTGCAAGAACAAAGTGGACTACTCTAATGAAACTAGCTCCTTGAGAAGGAACTATAGCTAGCTAGGGAGAATATATATATATATATTGGTACCATCTTTTAATGTCAACTAAATTTGCAGCTAGATATGCTTTACCGTATTTTACTGTATAAATTTCATGCATATTCCAACCGTTTTATTTTTTACTTATTATTTGAAGATCATCCTTACCAAGAACCTATTCGAATCGATCGTTTAGTCATTAAAGTATATCAAATAAATAAATAAATAAATAGTTTATCATGAATATGTTACTTTATACTTTTATAATGATTTGTTCCATATATTTGAATGTATAAAAAAAGTCAGATTAAAATAATTTTTTGTAGGGTTGGTCTTCATATGAGGATTAAAAAATTGAATGGCTCCACTATATAAAACTTATACAATGAAAATACATTATTTATAGCAAGCGAGATTTGTGCATTCCCTAATGAGGGATGCAAGTATTGTCATTTGTTAATTCACTCAAGGAAACAATTTTTACGCACTATTTACTTTTATCTTACATTCTTGTTTATTTTTATCTCTTAATAAACTTTTGATTATTCAATCTAAATACTAGAAATACACCAGCTATACAAATAGAGAAAAACGGTTTGTGAAAATCAACTCCCTCTTTAACTATATTGTTTTTATATTTATTATATGACTCCTACGGGACGAAATTTTTCATTTTCCTCCTTTGAACTTAAAACTGGCCTCACTTCGATTTCATCTTGTGTCCCATATTACCCCAATTTGTTAAGTTTGTCAAAAACTCGTTAACTTGGCTGAAGCACTTATATATGCATCAATTTACCATCAACATTCTAAAATTCTAATCAATCGTTGATTTTTGGTTTAAGCAATTGATAATTGATACTTTTTTTTCTTGGACCAGATTGTTAATGTACGGTTCCATCATCAAAAGAAATATCATTACCTATGAGAGATTTTTTAGTGTGTCCGGGACACGGCGAGGCACTACATCATGTTATTATACAACCGGAAAGAATTTTTTTTTTTTTCAAGTGTCACTCCAACTATATAATGACATGTTATATTATGTCCCGTGCTCCAGACACACTGAAAAATCTCTCCATATATACGTAGCTCCTAAAAGCAAACCAGAAAAGAAAAGAAAACCAAAAACACAAAAAAGCACAAAAAACTTGCCGCCTAATAAATGTAGTTGGAAGTTGGGAGTTGCCTCCTAATTAACCAAGTTAAGAAGCTGGAAGTTGGGACCTGGGCCATCTACAACTTGAGTTGTTTTTGTTTCTCGACGTGCTCACACAGTTAAGAACTTGCATGCCTCGTATAGGATAATAGGTACACTGCAAGAAAAAAGACTTCTATATATATCAAGATAACATTTACAACGTGGAACTTGCCTCGGATAGGATAGTACACCTTGTCTGTCCATCTTTAGCACTTTTTTGTTCTCTCTCTCTCTCTCTCTCTCTCTCTCTCTCATATGCATATGCATGTTCACCTATCTAAGAACAATTACCTCTTAAACAATATGTTAGAGGATAGAGTATCACATGAGAAGCTTCACACAATAAATTATAACTTAAATCGAATGATTCACTCTTAATTGTATGGACATCTTTTCTCATAGAACTCAATACGTGTCGAGCTGTACATGTGATTAAGTTGGGACAATATCGGTGTGATTAGTCGTGGATCACTAGCCGAGTTCTAAAATCTTAACATGGTATATATCACAACAAGCTTGGCCCATGTGTGAAGTCTAACGACCACACGTGCTCACGTCATCTAATTTGTGAGATCCACGTTTTTTTGCTTATAAATTTGCTACACATGAGGGGACGTGTGAGGATATGAAGATAAAAAGAGTCCCAACACATCAGAGAAATGAGAAATATTGCAAAGGCTTATAAAGTATTGAGCTACTTCCCTTATAGTCGATATTGGTACAAGCGTTTTGACACGGTAACCATATTGAACCTATCCTTAGACGAAACTACGAATGCTCAACTGCTAACGTGAAATTATTGGAGTTTTAGAGATTTAAAAGTGTATCTTTATTTCATATTTAACTGTTGTCTTAATTATTTGGTTGTTACAACCAACTTTTCTTCAAAGTGTGAGAGCATCTCCAATATGTCGGAATTTGATCATGAATTTAAAGGCTGGCTATTTAGTTCATACTTGTAACATCCCACATCGTCTAAGGGAGTGATCCTTATATGTATATTCTCATCCCTACCTAGCACGAGGCCTTTTGGGAGCCCACTGGCTTTGGGTTCCATTGGAACTTCGAAGTTAAGCGAGTAGCGCACGAGATCAATCTCATGATGGGTGACCCACTGGGAAGTTCTCGTGTGAGTTCCTAGAAACAAAACTGTGAGGGCGTGATTGGGGCCCAAAGCAGACAATATCGTGCTACGGTGGTGGAGCGGGCTCGGGATGTGGTGGACCTCGGGCCGAGATGTGACAATTTAGTATCAGAGCCTAACCCTGACCGTGGTGTGCTGATGAGGACGTCGGGCCCCTAAGGGGGGTGGATTGTAACATCCCACAACACCTAAGGGAGTGATCCTTATATGTATATTCCCATCCCTACCTAGCACGAGGCCTTTTGGGAGCTCACTGGCTTCGGATTCCATTGGAACTCCGAAGTTAAGTGAGTAGCGCACGAGAGCAATCCCATGATGGGTGATTCACTGGGAAGTTCTCGTGTGAGTTCCCAGAGTAGCGCACGAGAGCAATCCCATGATGGATGATCCACTAGGAAGTTCTCGTGTGAGTTCCTAGAAACAAAACCGTGAGGGCATAATCAGCTCCCAAAGCGGATAATATCGTGCTACGATGATGGAGCGGGTCCGGCATGTGGTGGACCCCGGACCGGGATGTGACAATACTGGTATAGAAAGAGATATACTTGGTCGGTAGGCCCTTATTTGAAAAGGATTGTTTTAACACTTGATATTCAGCAAGGAAATTAGTCAGTGTGTGTGTATTTATTGGCTTATACTTTCACAAAAGATGCGCTTAATTGTTGAACCAAGAGCTTATTATTGATTAGCCTTCGGCTTTTTGAAAGAGAGGAGAAGGACTACTACTGTGTTCGACAATGGCTTCGAGCTCATCGATCTCTACATGTATGTTACTATTCTTATTTGAGTTACAAGGTTTAGAGTCGTCATAGAGTCCTTATTGTGCTCTTGCAGTGCATTTATAGTAGTGTTATAATAGGGGTGTGTTCAATTTTATTGAGTTCAGTTTTTTGTCCAAATAAAAAACCAACCGAAATTACTGTTCGGTTTTTTGTTTCGGTTTTCTCATTTTCTAAATGGAAAACCAAAATGATTCAATTCATTTTTTTGGTCCAAGTCCATTTTGATTTAGGGTTTTTTTTTTTAAACAAAAAAAATTGAAAATTGAAACTTGGGGAATCTTGTAAAGAAAACGAAGCGAAAAAATATAGAGATTTGATTAAGACCAGAAAAACCCGCACCGCAATATTAGCTTCTTACAATGGCCAAAAGTAGTTTCTTATACACATCCCCAGTGAAATTAAATGGTCAAAAAGCCAGAAAACCCAAATCTCAGAGAAATCAGTCAAGTTTACATACTACATTAATTGATTTTCAAATTAAGATATCAATCAAATTCAAAGATTACCTTAATTGATTTTCAAATTAAGAGAAAAATAATGAGTTTAGTCTTCGAGAATATTTGTAATAAAAGAAACCTTTTCATTTTTGAAAAATACTGAGGAGATTCTCTCATAAGTGAGACTCTTTATGGACTCTACAACCTCATGTTTTAGCACAACATTTTATAAACACGAAAATTGAAGTTAAATTATGAGGTGACAGAAAGTTCATAAAAATCTCACTTTGAGAGAGTCTAATCCTTAGCATTTCTATTCTCTTTTAATAAACAAGTCATTGCCAATTCATTTCCAATCATCTTGTCGCCATTAATTGTTAAAACTACGTATAAATAAATGAGTCCCAGGAGACATCTTTTACCACATGAACATGGTAGTTGGGACTCTCAATTGATGAAAACATGGCGAGAATGTACAACTTATGTATTTTGATGAATTTGAGAGCCAATTATGATAAAGTGTACGAACATAACTTTAAGTGTGAATGACAAATTGACGAACAATTTCTTCTGTTAAATAAAATGAATTATTATTAGTACTTTAAAAATTTTATTTGACATTCTAAACTTTTTATAATTAGAAAGAAAAATATATTTATGAGGAATGTATAATGAGATTTTTGGAGTGCTAATAACAATCCCCTAAATAAAAAGAGCATTTCTTTTTCCTTAGTTTCTCTATTTAAAAACTAATTCCAAAAAACATAACATATGGAGTGGTCCGTGGCACTATTTTTTTACTCAACTTTTGGCACTTGTTTTGCGGGACCAACTTTGTAATGCATTTTAATGCTCCGAATTGTCTATCTTTTAAAACATATCCATAGTTTGTTCTTGCAAAAAATTAAATAAATCCAAAACTAATGAAACATCCAATTTATAATGAAGAAAATGGACGAATACGGTTCTATAAAGAAACCCTAACCCTTTAATCCAACCCTCATATACTTTCAGATTTGGGTGATTTTGGTAGATATGATCTAGGGAAGACCCAAATATAAACGGTTTGGATGGTTAAAATATATTACAAAATGAACTCTACAAAAATGTATGTCAAAAGTTGTGTAAAATAAGTGGTGCCACGACTACATTTATTCATGTAATAAAATGTTCCTAGAAAAAGTAACTGGGTGGAGGAGAGCTAGCTTGAGTTTTGCTCTTGAATTCTTAACCAATTATGTTAGAGTTACAGTCTATGTTTACCACATTTATTTACACTATGTTTAAAAGAAGAAATTTAAGATTTTTAAGAAATTTTAAAATGATGAAAATTGAAATGACGGTATTTTATATTTTAGAATTTGTGAATTTTCTTGTTTGATTAACCTAAAAAAACAATGGAATTGAATACAATATTTGTTATTTTTAAACTCTCAATCATAGATATTGGGTA